GAGGCATCACCGGAAGTGGGGGTCGAATCATCTGACGAATCAGACGTTGAGCAAGACGTGCCAAGGTTCCGCTGCAACCGGCGGAGATGCTTGGACTCTGCAAGGAGGAGCCGCTCCCCAACACGTCCTCCTTGCCACGCTTCTTGCGAGATGGCTTCTTGCCATCAGACGAAAAAGACGAGGAGGTGTCGCCAGCGGTGTTCGGTTTAGTGGAGCTATTGCGGAGTTGTTGTAAAACTTTGCGGAGTCGCGCAGAGAAAGGCTGGAGCTTGATGCGAGCATAATCAGGGTAGTGCTCACGAAGGCGCTGAATGACGATATCTGAGTCGGGGAAGGAATTTGATAAATTCTGAGATTTGATGCGGCGGAGCAGTATGGAGCGGTCCATGACGGATGATGGTGAAAACGGCGAGCGGCCGCCGCCACGACGTGGTCTCTTTCCCATCGACACGCCACGTTCTACCGGCAGGCTAATCAGCCTCTCTGAACCGTTTGGAAGTCGATTTTAAGCAGGATTTACAAAGACTTCGTCTCAATCCTGCCAAACTGGAAAAAATGGCGAACGAAGAGCTCCCGTAAATCGGAAAATGGCGCCGATTGGGAATAAAGCCTGTATCGGCAAACTGGAAAAAACGGATTTAGTACATACCGGACAAACGAACGAAGAGTAAGAATGGCGCGCGCGAACAGGCTTACCTTCGTCAATCGGTCTCTGGTGCTCAGTAAGGTTCGGAGGTAGGGTTTTGGATCGGAGGTAGGGTTTTGGAGTGCAACTGGAAAAACGGATTTAGTAAATACCGGAATGGCCAACGAAGAGGAAGAATGGCGCGCGCCAATCGGTCTCTGGTGCGGAGCGGGCGGAGCGGAAGATAAGAGGTAGGGTTTTGGATCGGAGTTTTTATTTATTTATTCTTTATTTTAATTTAGTTTTTTTATATATTATTCAATTCATTATAATAAAATAAGTGTAATGTGATTATTTAAAAGTTAATTAATGAGTAATGAAATATTTGAAATTTTAAATTATTTAATGAAATTTTATGTAATTTTAATTTACACAATTAATAGTTAATTGATTAACAATTGAATAATATTAAATAATTATTTAAAATTAATTAGTTTAAAAAAATTGATTATTAATAAATGTAAATGTCTTATTTTACCATTCTTAGGCTTTGGATGTTCATATATAATTTTCTATTTAGTATTTATATTTGAATGTTTTCTTTCGTAAATAATAATAAAATCCTTTTAAAGTTGTCAAATTGTGTATCATAATTTATCTGGATTTACTTACTAGCATATCAAACAATTTTTGAGATTTAATCACATCATATTTTGATAAATTTGAGTTTATAAGATTAACTGAATCTTACTTAAACTTAATCCCACTTACAACCAAACGGCCCCTAAATTCATGATTTAATGGAGGTTGTTAGAACATTGAGTTATGAGATTTAGAGAAGCTGCAAACCAAGAGTGCTCTTTCGACCATAAGAGGGGTAGGGCAAAGGTTTCTTGCTTTAATTTTCATTCATTTAATGAAAATAATGATAAATAATTAATTAGTACATTATCAACTTAATTATAATTAAATGTTCTTATATATAGTTATTTAAAATTAGTTAATAAATTCTAAGGGCGATTTACATATGTAACATTGAAAATTTTGTATTTTACCTATCCAACACAAAAACTTCGCATATTACTAAACTATCCTCTGAAATGTTTATTTTTATCACAAAATTTATGCTACTCTGTCTCCCTCCGTTAACTCCCTTATTCTCGAAAAAATTTTATCTCAAATCTTCATGAGTTTAATTGAACTATCATCTGAAATTGTTTCTCTTGCATCAGGTTAAAGTTGTTTCTTCTAACTGCTGCAGCTACCCCCAGATTGTCCGGTTGGGGGCAAATCAAAGATCGTTAGACTGTGACCTTAAGATCGCACGGTCCGACCCGGGGAATGAAGACAGTTTGTCATGGCATTAGGATCGCCTGATTGAGCGCAAATCAAAGATCAGTAGCTCATGGCGCCACGATTGTTCGGTCCAACCCAGAGAATGAGAACAACCAGAATGAAGACAACCAATTGTGGCACCAAGATCACCCTGTTGGGCACAAATCAAAGACTGTGGTGCCAAGATTTCTCGGTTTGACCAGGGGAATGATGGTAGCCAATTGTGGCATCGAGATCACACGACTGAGCACAAATCAAATACTTGTGGAATGTGGCGCCAAGGGGAATAGAGATAGCTAGCTATGGCACTAGGATCACCCGGTGCAAATCAAAGACCGGTAGACCGTGGCACCATAATCGTCCAGTCCGACCCCGGGAAAGAAGACGATCGGCCATGACACTAAGATCACCCGACTGAATGCAAATCAAAGAGTGGTAGACCGTGGCGCCAAGATTTTCCAGTCTGACTTTGGGAATGAAAACAGTCGGTTGTGGCACCATGACCCCTCAACTGAGAGAAAATCAAAACCCGGTAGACCGTGGCTCCAAGATAGCCCGGTCCAACCCTGGGAATGGAGACAGCAAGTTGTAACGCCAAGGTGGTCTGGCTAGTTAAATTCCTAGATGCGGTGCCCAACATAATATCGACGAGCATTATGAAGAGTAAGGCATGAATCACTCTGCCACAAAGCCTAGGCGATAATCTTTGGTTGAAGTGACGATGAGATTACCACAAGCGTACAAACCAAAAGGTACAAAAGTACAAATCAGAAGTTACCAAAGACAACCAAACTGCTTCATGTCATTAAAAATAACATGCAATCACAAAATTGTTATGTTTATAAAACATTGGTTATACAAAATATTTAGAAAAAAAATAAAAATAATGATTATATCGTTCAAAAGAAAAGCTTAAGCTTCAAGAGGTCAGCTAGAAGAATCTCGCACATTTTCAACGTCCAAATCATCCCTGAATGACCATTAGGAATTCAAACCTAGAGTTTCAAACTCTTTGGGTTCACAATATTTTGGATCAATCAAACCTGGCCACACAAATTGAATGACGCCATCAAGCTCCCGATACAAAGTTGTTCAACAAGGAGCTTCATCTCCCGAGGGTGGGACCGAAGCAATGAGAAGAACTCCTCCTCGTTCTTCATGGTTGTCATTCATTCATTTAAATTGAGATTTTATTCGACGCTGAATGAAAACTATTTGGAAACCAATGAAAGTTCCTTCACCACCACAAAAAAAATTTTCTTGGCAGACTCAGCTCACCTTTTCGCCTCTTTGATCAGCCCAACTGAGACCTTTGCTTGCTTCACAACAACAACCCATTTTTTCTCAGTAAGGTCCAAGACCCTGATTTTAGATGAGAGGCCTCCCATGCTTTCAAATGATATCGGTCGACCTTCTTAAATAACGCAGGCCGCTCCAACTCTCATAAAGACTTCATGAATTTCGGTTGTCAGATGACCTCCAAAAGAGATAAAAAGTCGAAGTGTTGGTCAATCGATTGATCAATAACAATAAATCGGTCATCGGGTGAGTTTTGGATCTGCGCCGCGGGACCTAAGCGAGTTAAAAAAAAAAAACCCCTCCTTTGTTTCATTTGGAAAGGAAGCAGGGGGGTGGATTCGACAGCTGGCTCTTTACCTTCACAGTATAGAGTTACAGAGGCTTCCCCCTTGGGATCGATCTTGGGCTTGGTCTCCCTGAGAATCACCAACATGTTGGCCTCATTCTTGGCAAGATGATTGAGAAAAGAGGTTCCTCAACTAAGAGAAGTCATTTTTCTCTCGCCCCTTCTATGGAGCCTCTCTTTTATGAACTTTTCCTGAATAACCCAGACACTCTCTCAGCTCCTCGACATCTGGAAGGGGCTACATCCATGAGATAAGTATTATAGTTAACAATGACCTTTTATTTCCTCACAATAAATGTCACTTCTCCAGTTAAACCATTTGAATCGCGACTGTCATAGCAGAAGTGTTTAGAAGTAACTCCTTCCATGCTGGGCCGATTTCTTTTCCCACTGCCAAAGTAAGTATTCCTTCTGTTGCCATCACCCTCTGTTGAATTTCATCCGCCCCGACATCAGCCTCCGCCTTCCTTTTGGTCAATAGGGTGGCCACCTCTTTTAACCGCAGGATCTCTACAGTGTCAGAGGCATCACATAGCTCTGTCTTCATTTGATCTAACACATTGGAAACAAAACTTGGTTTATGGTGACCTGGTCGGTGTATTGGGGAATTAAAAGCAGCTGACCGTCGATGTTAACCCCCTCGATTTGAAGGATTTTGATGCCCTTCCTCTTCCGCTATTCCGATAAGAGACACCGGTAAGAACAATCCTAATTTCTTGACCTGTGGCAGAAGAGGCAATGAAGAACTTGCATCTCCAATATCTGGCCTGGTGTTCTGGACCAACAAAGTGAAACCTACCAGTTGTTCCAAATTTGACTCCATGAAAAACAAGAAAATATCGCTAAAGACATCGATGGACCTGGTAGCGTCTTGTCGCTGACAGAAGATGATGTAGGTCATAATTGCATCCATGGAATTTGTTTTAATTTGTGCGGGAATGACCCCGTACAGATTAAAAATCGACTGAAGTTTGTGAAGCATAAGTAGCCAAAACCCATAGCAGAATCAGTATCGATACATCATTAAATCGTTACCACATCCTTTAGTGACCCTTTCATTTGGGCGGGCCACCCACAAGTTAATGGTAAAGTGAAAAATAAAAGTTTTTTCAGTAGTCTTGATGTCGGACGGTGATGGAATATAACATTCAATAGTGATCACCTGATGAAAGGTGCAAGAGGCCATCTTCAGAGCAATATGAGTAACGAAAAGCTAAAACAAATGGTGAATAAAAAAAGAAAAGGGAAAGTTAGAAAGCATTCTCACGGGTCCTCAACACCCATTTATAGAAATATAACGGAAGATGAAATGTCAAACACAAAAATTGAGGAAGACGTCTTGTCAAACACAAACACCCATATTTTCAAAAATAACCATTTTATTTATCATAAAAGTCATGGTTACACAAATATTTAATCTAAAAGGAAATATTTCACCAGGTGATCCTCGATTAGAACTAAACCTCTTACAATTAGCCTCTAAATAAAGTCTGGCCACCGAGCTTAAATTGATTCACTTTGACGGTTTCAAAACTGACTTTCATAACAAATGCGCTCTCTCGAAACCCGACAATCTGACGGTGAATACCGACTGCTTCTTAGTGCGTCTCCTCTAGCCCAACTTATAAGTCTAGACCCTGACAGGCCATAATCGCCTCTATTTCCAGCAAACGACACGTCAGGGTCCTGGGGGATGGTCAACGATCCTCAAGAGTCTCATCTCATATCACTTCATGTCCAGCCGGAACACTAACCACATCCACTTCACCACCAGTCAGCCCCTTTGGAGCTGAGACAATTCGTAAGATTGAATTACCATCATCAACGTCAGCCAGTAATTGACCAATGCAAGGATCCCCATCTATGAAAAGAGAAACCATCAACAAGCATTAGGTTAAGGTAGAAGAAAGGAGAGAGAGAGAGAGAGAGAGAGGTAGAAGAAAGGAGAGAGAGAGAGAGAGAGAGAGAGAACAGTTTTACCTGGGATCTAATTCACTTCAGACCATGTGCTCCTCCTGCATCATGGAACGGGAAGTACCTGTGATCTAATTCACTTTAGACCATGTGCTCCTCCTGCATCATGGAACGGGAAGTCGTCTGACAGTACTGTTCCTCGAGACAGAGGGACATCTACACCTACTCGTTGAGTATCAAGTAAGAGAGGGATATTCGAAACAATGGGTTGAATGTGAGCTTCAAAGGGGGTTCTCATTGGCGTATCAATTGTTGAAACCACATGCTC